GGAACTGGATATATCTAGTCTGATGAAAAGAAGGACTAGGGGAGACATGATAGCAGTGTTCCGATATCTCATAGGTTGCCACAAAGAAGAGGGAGTCAAGCTATTCTCCAAAACATTTGAGGGTAGGACAAGAAGAAATGCATGGAAATTAATCAAGGAGAGAAGCAACTTAGAACTAAGGAGAAATTTCCTGACAATTAGAACAATTAATCAGTGGAACAACTTGCCTCCAGAAGCTGTGAATGCTCCAACACTGGAAGTTATTAAGAAGAGATTAGATAACCTTTTGTCAGAAGTGGTGTAGGGTTTCCTGCCTAAATAGGGGGTTGGACTAAAAGACCTCCAAGATCCCTTCCAACTCTGTTATTCTATTCTATTCTTATATTTATTGAGTGTTTGCAAGAGAGGTAGAACCCTCATTTCCAGAGAAGAATCACAGTGAACTAAAGGAGTGGGGAATGGTATACAATGGAGATCGATGGCCAGATGATGCCTCTGGCTGGCAAAATCTTGCCAGGGAAAGGAGAGATTGTGATATTGCCCGCAAGTAGTCCTCACAGCTGGAGTAAAGCCTTGTGAATAAAGTGCAGGAACTAAAACTACATTAACTAAATAGTGTTAATGTAGTCTATAAGGGCATAAAGTTTGTCAAGCCTCATTTCTTAATCGCTTTCAGAAATTAACTGCTTTTTTTTTTTTTTTTTTGCTATTAGGAACCTTCACAATTGAAACTTCATTCAATCTTTAGTGGAAGAAGTTTTAAATACAGGTTTAAGAGGTTTTTAAAATTTCTTTTGGAATAAAATGCAAAAGGGAGATTGAAACATTGATTTTGGAAAGTTACAAATGAACTAAGGGTCCAGATTTTAATCTTTCTCATGGGAAAATGGTTTTGTCTTTAAAAAAAAGACAACATAGAGTGTGGTGAGTTTGAAGGTTGAATCCTAGAGGAAACCAGAAGGAACTAAAGATTAGAATTAAAGGCAAACAATTAAATTCAATTTACTAATACAGAATGGAGCAAAATATTTTAACATGGGTGTATTGAAGGATATTTGTGAACAAGGGACCTCAAAATCTCTGCTATTATGTAGATAGGTTGTGTTTAAAAGATGTTATGGAAAAGGAACAAGTTTTACCCAACATGATTGAGTCTGATTTGATTTGATCAGTGGATTTCAAAAGCAAAAGGCTACAAGAACGATATGGAAAAGATGCTACACTGGACATACAAAAGAAACCAGCTGATATCTTAATGATTGATAAACTGGGATGAAAATCCATTGTATCTGAAGTCTAATGAATTGGAATCCACTAAGGAAAGCTTAACACACATACATTCAGATAGAATGTTAATCATTCTGAAATAGGAAATTAGATATGTTGCTGATATTTTAAGCTAGTCATATGTGGAAAATCAAATGTAGGCCTCACTTTTAAAATTCTTATCTTCAACCCACCATTTGCTGCTTTGTGTTTTAGTTGCTGATACAATCCTACATCCCTTAATATAAAGGTCTTCAGGATCTCTAATTTATAAATCAGTACGGAGTCTTTGTAGTGAGTCAAAACTGATGATCCACCTCTTCTGGGGAAAATCTTGATCAATCTTTGGTTACAATAGCACAGTTTAAGATTTTTGGAAACAAACATTAACATACTTGATCTGAACATGCCTACATAGTTTTGTTCTCATTTAGCAACTTACTGCCTACAAATGCTTTGAAGATTATCTCTAAAGGCACACCTAGGAACAGATGCTTTCATGCCCTGCTGCACCATCTGTCACAGGAAATCATATAAGCTTCACCTAGAATGGCTCTTGGGAGACATTGTAGAGCATGGCACTCAGAAGGCATGAAACAGAGGTCAAAACTTCCATAGCAAGCCAATACAACTATGGGCATCATAAAATATGCCTGTTCAATTTATTTCAGGAATTTAAGGAACAAATGAACATGCTGCATTCTTGGAGCCACGTTCTGTCTCACCTGTCAACTAGTTTCATATTTTCATTATAATATATAGTAGGAAATGCACTCACAGACCTAAGTGGCAATAATAGAGATGCTTTCCTTGATTGGATATTTCTGACTTAGTCTGAGGACTAAGTGGGTCTTAGAAATAGTTAAACTAACTATTGTTAGTACTACTTCTTGAGTGACTGTGCTATCTGGAATTTAACCTTGTGAGAATGGCATGTTTCCTTTTTTATTTTTAATTATTTCTTGATGTATACGAGCCCACTTATACATGTATAATAGCTCTTTCAATCTATGTTTTCTCATCTGTTTTTATTTATTTTTATTACTTAATGATACCATGAAGCAAAAGGATCAGCAGGCAACATGTGGTTGTTTAGGTAGTTTTTGCAGAGTTTAGTGACTGTTCAAAGTTACGATGGCACTTATAAAGTAACTTTACTAATAGTCCTCACACAACAACCATTGCAGCAGCTCTACAGTCATGATTGCCATTTGTATGATTTACAGTTTGCTTCTGATAATTAGGATCAGTGGAGAAACTGGAAATAAAATCACAAGTCACAGTCGCATGCTGACATCACAATTGCAATGAAAGTGATGTCATAAGTTTATTGTGGTCACTTGTCTGACTTAATGACAATGTCATTTACCCATCTATTCATAGGAATTATGGAAAAATATTGCTCAATGCCCTTGGTAATTATTAGACTGAGAAAAGTTGTACTAGCTGAATCTCTTTTGGATTAGCTGACTTTTCTGTGTATTTAACTATGTTGATGAATTGCCACAATGGCAAGTGAACCAGTGAAAATCCAGTCGAAAACATGAACTCCAAAATGTTCAATTTGTCTTATGCCCAAATAAATTAGACTAGGAAGGCAATCTCATTTATTTACATTTATATTTTTCTTTTAAGTTGTAATGTAAAGTGCAAAGAAACTTCCAAAACTGCAGTAAAGGCTGTAATTTAAAATCTAATAACAAAATAAAATAAAATGTCTATCTGCCTGTTTAACTTGTCTATCTTGTGTGTGTGTACTTTACTGTTTTAATAGAAGTCTCTGGGTGCATTGTTTTCACACAGCAATAAAATCAGTATCAATATAAGATCACCCTAATAATATAAGTTATACAAATCTATTACCTGAATTGATTTACCTGTATTAAAAATAAACATTTTAAGGTTTATCTATAAGGTCACTAAAAGTTGACATCAACTTGTTGGTACATAATCAAACTTTTTAAGGTCAAGTTCTTTAGAAAGGGACACCATACATAAAGGTGTTCCATTTACTCTTGACCCAAGTTTAATTACCTTTTTTACAAGTTCAGCCAAGATCACTGCTACTTAAGCAGGAAATTTCAGCATTACACTGTTATTGCTGCATTAAACTAAAACTCGTGGTGCTGGAGCCTATAGGCTCTTGAATGTAGATCTAGATCTTTGGAAACTTTTGTGTCTAATCCAAATTCTAGAGGGCTGTTCTGTAAGTAAAATGGGAGGAATAAAAAGTGAATCAAGAGAATTCTCTTTGAATTGTTGCTCACCTTCAACTCAGAATCACCCTGAGTAATTTCTTTTCACACCTTGAACATGTAAACAACTCAAGGGTTTAGGTTAACTAAGGCATTGTTTATTTTAGATGGTTGGTTGATTACATCCTTATGATCCTTATAATAGTGGGAAAACAATGGAACAACAAATGCAATTATATGTGTGGTCCAAAGGCCATACAATTTGAAAGGGTGTAGGAAAGAGAATGATGTCGAGAAACAGGTAGGATGTAAAGAAACTAATGAGCATATCAGTCAGTCAATCAAATCCAGATAGTGCCACCATGGTTCCTTTGGGTAAAACAGGGAGAAATAAGTTCAATAGTTACATTGTTAAAATAAGAGCTTGACCTGTAGTTAACCACCATTTTCAGCCTTTGGTCATCATATAGTTACAAAACAATTTTCCTTTGTGCATTAATAAAAGTGGGAAAGTATCCCTTAATTTGATATCAGTTACACTGTATGCTCCCAGAAGGAAGCAATATTAATAAAGTTGATCCCTATTCATTTTACATAGTTGATTTTAGAGCTGGATGGTATCCTTTCCACCTTGGCTTTTAATCTGTGCAGGAAAAGTAGTCTTTTAAGACAAGTATTATAAATGATCCAGGTATGCTTAAGGGCACTTACTCATAGCTGTATTAATGTGCACTCTGTTCATCCTTGAGTTGGCAGCAAAGTATGTCAACATAAATTGCACTACCTCCATGGCCTATGTTTAATATGCCTCAGCAATGATGCCAGTGATGCTGTCCTTACAAATTTAAAGCAGGGCAGTTTTAGGGCAACAATTGGTGAAGGCCCTAGATTCTTTTCCCCTTTAAGTCAGCATCACCTGTCAGCAGAACAGATCAATCACCCATCACTCTTCATAAAATGTAGCAGGGGATGATACATGATACGAGAAAATGTATTCGACAATGGTGCTTTATTCGATGTAGAAAAGTTTTTGATCGATACAGACACACACACTTGTAGCATTCCTATAGAACATAGATATTCCCAAGGAATGGTGAGACAGAGGAAGGTGAGGCTGGAAAGAGAGCAATAGCACTTAGACTTATATAATGCTTTACAGCGCTTTACAGCCCTCTAAGCGGTTTACAAAGTCAGCATATTGCCCCCAACAATCTGGGTCCTCATTTTACCTACCTCAGACGGATGGAAGGCTGAGTCAACCTTGAGCCTGGTGAGATTTGAACTGCTGAACTGCAGCTAGCAGTCAGCTGAAGTAGCCTGCAGTACTGCATTCTAACCACTGTGCCACCTTGGCTCAAGCTCATGGAAACCTTGACAAGGTTCCCTCTTACGTCATCCCAGATACTTCTAGATCCCCCCCCACCATTAGCTAGACATTGTTTGTTTTACACAGAGTTTATTTAGCCAAGCAATACAGAAAATAGCATTAAATTACAGTAACAACCTAGTTCCACTTCTCCTGTGTCTGCCATGAATGAAACAATGCAGCTATCAGATGAAGCAGATAGCTATTTTGTTCATAGCAGACACAACTGGGAGGCTCTGTGGTGTGTTCATTTTCCCCTGGACACAAATTTTGCTGAATGAACCATCTATGATGACTCAGTAATGTTGTGGTCAATGATGTGATCAGAAGCTGGGATCGATTTATTGCTTGTTTTAGATTGCTGATATCATGACTCTTGGTCACTGCCAAGGACTTATGACTTCATGAATTTAATTTCTAAATTCAGGATTTTAATCATATTGGCTTCACATTTAGGAAAACTTCTCATTAAGGAAATTATGTTACATAGAATGGATATCTCATGAGTTGCATATAGACCTCCAACTCCCATTGTGCACCCACCATGTCACATCCAGATCATATTGTTAACATTTGGTGTCAAAATAACCAGTTTTGGGCAGCATGAATAGTTTCATTTATCCTTAAATGATAATGAAAATGAATGTATTTAGCCATTTTGAGGCAAAATGCATCTCATTGCATTTATACCTCCCATACTCAAATCAAGAAATAGGACAAAATATTTTATTTTTGTTTGCATACCTTCATTAATGGACACGCTTACTTGCAGTCCTCAAAAACCTCACATTCTAGGCCAATAAGACACCTTAATATGACCACTTGTTCAAATTGTGCTTCACCAGTATGATGTCCGAAGAAGCTAAATACTCTTCCTTTTTAACCACTTTATTCACTTTAATAGTTTCATTAGCATTGGTGCTCATTAGATTGCAGGTGTTTGTCATGCTTGGGAGTCCATGTCCAGTTTGGCTGGTATGTCCCATGTAGTCCTTCCTGGAACAGAAAATATTGGTAATAGTAACTCTTGTCTTATATGAGAAACTATAAATAGGAGAAACTATGCAACATGCTTTATCATGGGTTGCCTTTGAAAAGTATCTGAAAACTGCAGGTGGTCTTAAAGGAAGCAGTGTATCTTCTGGTATATGAGACTCATAACATCTGTATAACAATAAGTGTCTGAGTACAAAGCAGGCCTGAGGAGAGGGGGGTGCAGCCGATACATTGTTCTGGGGCCCATGGGGCTCAAAGGGGGCCCATGAAGGGGAATTTTTTAAAAAAAATTTACAAAACCAAATTTTTTTAAATAAAAAATAATATTGGATATATACTTCATATTCTATACTTTGTGTGTATAGTAAAACCACCTTGCAGCCTTGTTTGACATAGCCTCTATTAATCTGAAACTCAGTGAACAGTTATTTATGTAATTTATTGAATTTTAATTTCATTACTTATTTATTTAAGTTTGCAAGTTTAGTTTTATTTCATTTATGGATATATTTAATTTATGAATGGTTATGAAATGTCATCTCAAAAATCTGGAGCTCAAAAACGCAAGGAAAAACAGAAGCGTGATGAGATTAATAAAAAGGGGCGACAAACGCTTTTTCAATTTGGTGTTAAATGCAAAACAAGTGAAACTAACCAAAATAAAACTTTAAATTCAGAACAATGTGAGACAAGTGCAAAACTGAAACAAAGGCCGGAATCTCATGAGGCCAGTTTGGATTTTCAAGAAACATCAAATCAAGTAAATTCTCAATTTAAGATTTAGAGAAACAATTGTTAGTGATGAGAGTACTTCACTGTCTACAGAATCTGGGCATGGCTGAGATAGTGAAAAGTAGGTCAAATACTGGAAGTGATATTGGACTTCTTATAACAGATGTGCCTTCTCAATTGGAAATAGAAAACTATGTTATTAAAGGTCATACTGGCTTTCCTAAAACATTTCCCAATGATATAGATAACCAGGTTTTTCCTGAGAGTATTCTAACATTTCGAAGTTTAGTATTAAATTCATTGCTTATATATATTGTTTCATTATTGTTTATATACTAATGTGTATTATTGTTTTTATTATCTTTTACAGAAGTACCTGTCCTCTTTTTAATATATTTGCAAGGATTCTTGAATGTAATTAATAAATGTACAATTATGACATTACTGATTTATGTGTCCATGTGTAGGTGAGGGAGCCCATATTAGTCTTGTTCCATAATCCTCTTGGCGACCCTGGTTCAAAGAGCTAATTTTAACTTATAAAGTCCTTCATGACTTGGCTTCCAGTTATCTTCAAGTAGAATTTTCCAATCACTCCTAAAATAGGGGTGTTTATGGTCCATATAGTGTATTGTCTATTGATGTCTCACTCATATGGAATGGTCTTCCCACAGAGATTCAGAGGGGTCCTCCTTCTCTATGTACATTTAAGAAACCAGTCATCCTGGAACTATTTTACAAACCTGTAAATTAATCTGTCGTCACTGATGCTAAATTTTGAATATTTACTTTTGTATTATTTGTTATTATATTGTAAACTGCCAGGGATAGCTTTGAAATGCCGCAGTAAATAAAATTGTAAATAAACAGATAAGGCAGTGTTTACTAGTGATGGCTTATTTCAATGTTCTTTGGAAATCTGATGAAACAATTATAAACACACATGCTGAGATAAATATAAGTATAAATCTAGTTTGCCACCCTTATTTGTCACAGTTTAACTATTAACCACATAGCATAAGACAGGTGCAAATGTTTTGATTTGTTACAAAATGTGGTGAAAGGCTATCAGATAGGACAATCAAAGTTTTCAGTCTCTCAGAAATGTTGGTCTTAAAGTCAAAACAAGTAAAATGGATGAAAATGGAAAATGGATTATATTTTATTAATATTATTATTTGTATAAAAGCATGTATTTTATGACAGTTACAAGTGTAAACATAATTATAAATACATGAAATGGATACAAATAAAAGGAAACATTAGGACAGGGACAGTAGGCATGCTGGTGCGCTTAAGCATGCCCCTTAAAGACCTCTTAGGAAGGGGTGAGGTCTACAGTGGACAATCTAAGTTTAAAGTTTTCGGGGTTTGGGGAAGAAACCACAGTCAGGTAGTGCATCCCAGGCAGTGAGAACTCTTACTGAAGTCATATTTTCTGCACTCTAGTTTGGATTGGTTTACCATGAGTTTGTATCTATTGTGTGCTCTTGTATTGTTTTGGTTGAAGATGGAGTATTCATTGGTTGGTAGGACATTTAGCAGATGGTTTTATGTACTATACTTAGGTTAGACCAAAGACGGCGAAGTTCTAAGTTGTCTAAGCCCAAAATTTCAAGTCTGGTGGCATAAGGTATTTTGTTGCAAGCAGAGGAGTGGAGGACTTTTTTTGTGAAATATCTCTGGACTCGTTCAATTGTATTAATGTCCGATATGCAGTGCGGGATCTAGACAGATGAGCTGTATTCAAGAATTGGTCTGGCAAAAGTTTTGTATGCCCTACTTTATAGTTCAATATTACTGGAAAAGAAGCTACCATCTCTCTCTCTCTCTCCCTCTCCCTCTCCCCCCCCTCTCTCTCTCACACACACAGACAGACACAGACACTAAGTTTCTCTAGTGATATTTTTAATCTGAATTTATTATTTAATTAACATTTGCTTTTCTATCATGCCAACACCCAAGGACAACTTAGAACAATTACAAAATATAAAGTATAAAATTAAAATCAAAATCAATTGACTTAAATAAAAAAAGTTTGGCTAAAGAGAAGTTTTGTTCTAGTAGGATATAAAGTTTTGAGTTCTAAAGCAAAAAAAGTGTTTCACAAACATTCTGTCTGTACTTTAGGTATCTGATGATGCTTCTCTGAACCTTTTTCTGGGCTTACAAATAACACTTATTTAATCCAAAAATATACATTCTTGGAATTGCACAATTATCAACCAAGGCCAGGAAAAGTTATGGCTGACAATTGCAATGAGTGCCTCCACATGCTCGCCGCACAGCATTTTCCCCATTTCTGAATAGCAATAGCAATAGCACTTAGACTTATGTACCGCTTCATAGTGCTTTTACAGCCCTCTCTAAGCAGTTTACAAAGTCAGCCTATTGCCCCCAACAATCTGGGTCCTCATTTTACCCACCTCGGAAGGATGGAAGGCGGAGTCAAACTAGAGCTGGTGAGATTTGAACTGCCAAACTGCAGCTAGCAGTCAGTAGAAGTAGCCTGCAGTACTGCACTCTAACCACTGCGCCACTTTGGCTCATTTTTCACTGCACATCTCTATTTTTCACTGTCTTCTTTAATACTGACAATGTGCACTTCATTCAAAAGTGCTTTCCATAGAGCAGGAGAAAGTAACCAATGGTTGAGGTTTTAGCAGTGGGGCATTCTAAAGAAGGGCCTACTGATCTAACCAGGTAGGATCATCTGAAAAATGCTATCCTGTGGATAATTCTTTCTTGCATTGATGTTAGAACAGAGAAATTGCAAGATATCTCTACTCTCCAAGCTCATAGCACAAAGGGATAAATACACAACAACTTTATTTCCCAGAAGCTCATTTTCAACATCAACCCATCAGTGAAGAAAATATGAACAAATAAGAAGTTCCCAGGTTCAGCTGCCTCATCGGCAGCAAAACTGAAGCATTTTAGCCAAGTCAAGATTGAAAAATTTGGAACTGTTTTCAGAACCACAAGTCAGCAGATGTGCTTTTGTATAGATCGGATTCAAGGTTCCCCCCCCCACCTTTCAAACTGCTATTTTTCCTTGTTACTCCTTCAGTTTCAGCCTTTTTCTGTCTGCTTTTTTCCCCCCTTTTGTGTCTGCATTTTTAATACCATATTGGAGACACTTGTTGCCTACTCCCCTCTGATCTTCCTTGTGCTTTTGCCAACTCTTGCTGCTGCCAGAGAATAAAAATGCCTGAGATGTATCCTTCCTTTCAGGTCACTGTTAACTTGGCTGCCTTGTGGGGTGACAAAGCCATGACCATCATGAAGAAATCAAAGACCACAACAAAAGAACAAACATTAGTGTGAGGACCTAAATATAAAGCAAATACTAAAGCCCACTGAGGTGACAGCAAAGGGGCTTCAAAGCATTACTCAGTTCCCAACCCTTGATTCACCACATCAAAGGCTAATGCTTCAAATGGCATCAGACTGAGATGATAGTGGTGTTGGAAGCAAAGATAGAAATAATCAAGGAGCAATGACATCCTGTTCAAATGATTTTAGCTCTATCAGCAACTTGCAGAGAAATAGGCCCAGCATTCACCTGTAAAATCAATTTGGATCATTATGATGACTAAAATTTATTTATTTATTTATTTATTTTAAATTTATATACCGCCCTTCTCCCTGAGAACTCAGGGTGGTGTACAGCCAGAATTAAAAAACATAAAATACAAATATTAAAAAACAATTAAAATATATATAAATTTGGCCCAAAATTAAAAATATAAACCAATTAAAATATTTAAAATTTCTTCTTAAGCCAGCCCGACTTGCTGGAAAAAGTGGGTTTTAAGGGCACGGCGGAAGGCACTAAGGTCTTGGATTCTCCTTATCTCTGGGGGCAACTGATTCCAGAGGGTAGGTGCCCCCACAGAGAAGGCCCTCCCCCTGGGGTTCACCAGCCTACATTGATTGGCTGATGGCACCCTGAGGAGGCCCTCTCTGTGGGAGCGCATGGGACGATGGGAGGTCGTTGGTAGCAGCAGGCGGTCTCAAAGATAGCTAGGCCCGATGCTTTAAAGGTGATAACCAACACCTTGAAGCGCACCCGGAAGACCACTGGGAGCCAGTGCAGCTCGCGCAGGAGCGGTGTTGCCATTTCACTTCCCACTCCCCCACTCCAATGTATCTGAAGATTCAGATTGGAGTTGAGAGGTAGTGACTGACTGACCAAAATCACTCGATGAACTCCACAGCTGAAGGGAGATTTAGACCTGGATTTCCCTGATCCAAAATAGCATAACCATCACGCCACATTGACAAGTATTATTTTCTAAGATCTGAATGTGGAAAGTAAAGGATAAACATATAACTGAGCTATGCAAGCATATCAAGCCTGGGTTCACGCCATGCAAAACCATGTTTTTAATCATGGTTTATTAAAACCAGAATTTTCTGTGATTATAGGATTATTTTAAGAGATTTATTCTATCTCAGTTTTTAATACTCTTGGTAGTCACAGGTAATAACATAAATAAGGTATATAATAATAATAATTACAAATATTAATTTATAATTAATATTAATTATAATATTAATTTTATTATAATTAAAACTCATGTTGGCACAGATCACTCAATCAGTCCCCAAAGGCCTTCTAAATATGCGGTACACTATATCATAAACCATTTTTTGCTAATTACATTGCTAAATTCAGAAACAAAACCCAAATCTAAAAGAATAATTGTCATCTAAATTTTGAAAATTGATGAATGTATAAAATGAATGGATAACAAGATGCAAACAAGTTTTTTTTTAAAGGTAAATGTAAAAGATTTCATTTTGCTGTAAGAATTTAGATAGTAAGACATCAGGTAACCAAATTATATTTTTAGGATAACTAAATATAAGTAACATGGGCTGTTAATTGCCCAGGATACATTTTTAGTTAGATAATATTATTTAAATGTATTCTTTCCCCCCCATAATTTGAGTTTCCAGATAACAGATATGTACATTTATCCACAAATCTATTATATCTCAGTGGAATGGAAGAGTTGGTATTTCAATCAATACTCACCAAAGAATTAAGTCCCTTGTAAAGCTAACTCCAGAGAAGATATGTGTAAGATTGGACATGGTTCCATATCTTCTCAGGAGTAAGTCCCACTGAGTTTCATGGGGTTATTCCTATGGCAGTAACCACAATACAGCAGCCTGTATGTGATATGAGAAGAAGAAAAAAAAATAGAAAGATAACATTTTAGCACAGTCAAGCAAAGAAACCGGAATTCTGCTTTTCAGTAAGAAGGAAGATTCATTCTCTCCATTTTGAACGGCATGTATTTCTTTGCACACCAAGTATAACAGGCAAGAGGGGCCCTCTATAAAAGAGCCAAGCCTCTAGATAGGAGATTTTTCATTTGTTTGCCTCTTATAGAGAGAAGGGGAGATCAGTTCCCATTTGCATTGTCCCTATTTTGAGTAATTAATGTATGTGGGTAGTTCCCCCAACTCTTCTAAGGTAAAAAATGACCTTGTCAAAACTTAGATTACAAAATCTTAGTTACTAAGCAATGGAGAGGGCCCCACTGGGATGGCATCCCAGCTCCTGAAATGGTATGTATAGTAAAAACTAATAAAAATGGTGTCAGAGGCTTGCAGGCTTCCAAGTCCCCTGCTGTGTGACCCTCTGATCCCAATTTATTAGCTGAACCCAGGGAAGCAGACAAACCACTCTGGCTCCAGACTGTAGGCTCCAAGAAAGAAATAATGCAAGGCCCAAAGCAATGGCTCCAGAGGACAGGAGGGAAGGGGAGGGAACTTGCTGGAAAGTTTTCAAATGAAGCTGAAATGAGGGGGGGGGAAGCGAGGCAAGATGCATCTGAGGAGCGAAATGGTTTGTAGATCTCTCAGGGATTCACTGAGCAATCCTCCCAACATGGAAGAAAAACCACTTTTTAAACAAAGGCAACCCATCTCTGCTTGGTGATTGCTCAGTTTCGGTTTCAGAAAGGAAGCCATTTTCTTATAAAATTCCATGTCCGGAACTTTTGCATTTAGTCCAGAAATCAATAGAACCCATAGGATGAATGGGCTGTTTCATTGCCTTCAGCCGAGAAGCTAATTGCAGAGCCCTAGTGTGGAAAAAAAACCCAGAATGAAAATAGGGCCTCTTCTTTGAAAGAAACAAGAAAACCAACTTGGATAGATGAGACTAGTATTCACAAGGGCTTTATTGTGCTTGTTCCAAGATTTAATAGCACTAAAGGTATCCAATAACATTGTAACATTGGTAATTTGTGTTCCACCTAGGAACTGAGTTCCATTCCAATAACATGGTCACTAAGTGAAATGGTCACTAAGTGAATACAAGAGAGGGAGGGAGAGAGAGGGACAGGGAGAGGGACAGGGAGAGAGACTGACTGACTGACTGACTGTGGGGCTCACCGCTCTTCCATTTAGATAAAGTTCCCTTGTACAATTATGCCACTGTTACTTTCAGTCCAGTATGCATTGTTGCAACTGTCCACATCAGTTGGGAAATGGTGTATTTACGAATTATATTAAGATTTATATTGATATTGATTGTTTCCTGATTTCTTATTTGTACCCTATGACTATAATTAAGTGTTGTACCTTATGATTCTTGATGAATGTATCTTGTATGCACCAAAGACAAATTCCTTGTGTGTCCAATCACACTTGGCCAATAAAGAATTCTATCATCTATCTATCTATCTATCTATCTATCTATCTATCTATCTATCTATCTATCTATCTATTGCCATTTATTTTCCTCATATTTGAAAATGATGGCTAACCAGAGGAACTGTTGTACATCAATATTTGCAAGATACAGGCCATACAAAATATGTGTAATAATACACAAATAAGCAAGCAAATAAGCAAAATAGCTGTAGGGAAAGTCTTTAGGAATTTTGAATGTTTTCATCCTGAATTTACTTGTTACACACAAGGGTCATGTTCACCACCTATAAGGTGTTCTGTGGTGGAAACCATCTCCATCATTAACGTTTTAGGGAGACATAGTATCAGGGATCTTATTTTATGAGATTGACCTATTTTTCTAATGAGAAAATGGTGGGTGTGATATTTCAAAGAGCACAAAAAATGCATATCTGAACACACACCTGCATCACACATATGGGGAAACTATATATATACACATACATAGATATTGTTGGGAAAGCTGCTATAGCACAATGTAGGCCTAAATAATTATTTAAGTGGCAAAATCAATTCAACAACAATAACAAAAAGCCTCTCCTCTTTTGAGATTTGCCATTTAAAGCAAGAAACAATGCAAGAGTTACACATGGTTTAAACTGTTTTATTTGATTTTGAGGTATAGATTAAAGAGTTAACAGCCATGGTACAAATGATTAACTGTTGCTTCTCTCCCAAAACTGCAGATATTGACTTTGAAGCTAGTTATATTTTTTTATTTGGGCCAGCACTGATTTGTTAGGGACTTACTGATACTTTATCTTGATGTTACAACATAGATTAGATGTGACTGTTCCTCCTCCATTGCAACTATTTAGTTCTGTCTCAATAAAAAGCTAATCTATTGTTTTATTTAAGTCAAACTGCAGCTGTTTTCACACATGGCGTTTAATGCAATGCCAGGTTGCATTGCATCTACTCCCACAGTAGGCTCTGTGCTTATTACATAATCATAAGAAACACAGAGGTATATTGGAACCTGCTGAACTACTTCAGACTATTTGTTCATCTAGGCTAAACAGTTTTCTCATTGCTTACTACAGCTCAAGCTTTTAGAGTAGTGTTAGTGTTATTCTCCAAAATAAATAAATAAATAACTTTATTGTCATTGTATGGGTATACACACTATACCCATACAATGAAATTCACTTAACACCCAAAGACCAGGTCCAACACACATAACAATCCCCAAACACACTCCTACCCACCACAATTCTCCACCCCTAAACCACCCAAACATCCACACAACAGATGAAATAATACTGTCCAACAGCTCACTGATGGTGGCCCTTTAGTTCATTGTTGAGTGCAATTATAGCTCTGGGATAAAAACTATTCAGAAGACGTGTGGTCCGAGTTTTAATTGTTCTGTATCTTCTGCCAGAAGGCAACAGTCCAAAAAGATTGTAAGCAGGATGGGAAGAGTCTCTGAGAATGTTATGCAACTTTCTCAAACAGCGAGATTCGAAGATGTCGTCCAGGGCTGGTAGCTGGAGTCCGATGATATTCTGGGTAGTTTTAATGATTCTCTGTAGAGCTTTTTTGTCCGCTACAGAGCTGCTCCCACACCATGCAAGAATGCTGTATGTCAGGACACTCTCAATGGTGCTGCGATAGTAGGACAGAAGTAGATGCTGAGATAGATTTATCTTTTGGTATCCTTACGATATAGTGAATCTCCTCTTCAAAGGATTGCAACTGATGAATGTTGAAAGGTTTGATTGTTTAGTAAATAGACATTAAATGTTCTCTCTCTCTCATTTTTTAGGACTGGACCATGTCCACATTACTATTAATCATTTCCTGTTCCAGCAGATTTACTTCTGGAAAACTAGTGGACTACCTTCAGAATAGTTGGGTTAGTATGGTCCAGTAGTGGGATTCACTTACCTTCCCTACCGGTTTGCAGATGTGAGCGTGCACGCAGGCCTTCTGCGCATGCACAGTAATCATGCATTATGTCCGGGCGAGTGAGTGGAGCCTTCCGCAGTCATTGCTACCAGTTCGCACAATCCAGAAAGAACCTGCTGAATCCCACCACTGGTATGGTCTGAAGGAAGAATGGCATGGTCCATGTTTTCCTTAGTATCCAAAACCTTGTATGACTTTATTATTTAGTCAATAAAATGTGATTAACTTTTAATTAAAAAAATAGATTCCTGGTGGCTAAAGGGGCAAAATAAGATCAGCAGATGCTGACCTAAACAGCACCTGCTGGGTCAAAATTAACGTTAATGTTTATATTAAAAATTAATATTTGTGTATCATTTCCATTATATATTCTTTTTTCTTTTTAGATATTCAAGAAGATGTAACTGTAAAGATGGGTAAAAAGACTGAAGCTGTAGGAAAAGAGAGAACCCAGAGGAATTTGAGGTCTTCCTGAGAAATATATTTCTAATAAAGTGCTTTAGTTTTAGCTAAAAAGACACCATTATTAACATGCAAGATTAGCCTGAAAATGCACAGGTTAAGTAAGTAGTTGTTATGTTTAGGCTGATGCAAGGGTCCAGTTTGAGTGAAAGGGAACTGCACAAATGTCAATATAGATAATAGGATACACCATATAGCAGATTGCTATGGAAATGCCACTGTTATAGAAACATGTAAATGACCAAAAGTGAATTGGCCAATGTGATTGCACTGAACATTTGAAACGCTTGTCTGAAAATTAACTAGGAAAACTTGCTTGTATATGTTTCAGGGCCTTTCATGTGTCACATGAGACCATAGGAAGGAATCATAGAATCCTAAAATGTAAGAGTGTGAAGAGATTCTAGAAATCATCTAATCCACCCCACTGGATGATATCCAGCTAAAAATCAACTTCCTTCTAGTTTAAACCATTTTTTAAAAAATCTAGGGCCCTGGAAGAATGCTAATGACTTCTTAATCTTGTATAGCTCTTCAGATATATCAAGATAGCTACCATGTCTCGAACAGATTTCCCTTCTGGCTAAACATATTCAGGGCCTTCTACCATTTTCAATATTTTTTTTTCTTTCCAAGCCCTTTATTTATTTCAGGGGTCCCCAAACTTGGCAGCTTTAAGACTTGTGGACTTCAACTCCCAGAATTCTGGGAATTCTGGGAGTTGAAGTCCCCAAGTCTTAAAGCTGCCAAGTTTGAAGACCTCTGATTTACTTGGTTCTCTTCTGAGCATACTTCAGTTTTCTAAAACAAACTGCCCAGGACTGGAGGTAAAGTTGCATACAATATTCCAGGTGCAGTCTGACCAATACAGAATAGAGAAAACAAGGTTTCCTCTTGGTCTTGAAACTATCTTTCTATTAATAAAGCCAAGGATAGCATTTGCCATCTAACTCTCTGTGATGAAAACATCACACTGTTGGCTCCTGCTCAGCTTTTGATTTACTAAGACACTAGATTCTTTTTGTCCAGTATGGCCCCACCAATACAATTCCTCCCACCCTATGAGCAGGATCATAACTAGACAGGTTTGCAGGAATGCAGCCTAAAGCAGCACTGAATTTGGAGTTTATATGAACCATCAAAGAGAAAATGAATAGTGGTTAGACAGGAACAAACAGCTTATAACTTGTGAGTTCATCTTTATTTGTTGGGTTCCAAAATCTGTTTTCTCTTTTTTCTTTTCTAGCCAGACTAGAGAATTTTGCTTGGGGCCCCTTGTCATTTTATTCATATTACTTCTACTCATTAACTTCCAGTGACCCCTATAGTTGCTCTTGTATAAACAAATAAGAAACACTTTTCCATTCAACCTTCAATGAAGAGGCAATGAAACAACAATCCTCTTATGACAGTTGGTGAAAACAGCCAGACTTTATATGGGCTGTGTGTGCCTATGCATGTGGGCACAGAGGTCATTCCAAAATCTTTTGCTCTCACTTTCCCATGACTTGAGACTAACTATTCTTGCAGTTAAATGAATGATATGTTCTTCTTCATTGTTCAGCTTCAGAATCAAAGCTCCCAAGTTATTATAAAAATCATCAAGGCTGTTGCAAAAACGTCCAGTTCATCTTGAGAAAACCAATATCCATGTGGGTTTGGGACTTTGATGGGAAATGTGTAATGTCACTTTTTTAGACCAGTTCAATTCTCAGCATGGCTCATGGATGGGCCACCATAGAAGCCTCAAGAACTGTCTGTGCATCTGTATTCTGTGCCAGATGTTGCTTCTGCATTCTCTTTAAGGATAGCCCCTTCAATGTTGTGCAAAGGCTCTCCTAGCCAAAAGTGCCTGCTCTTCAAGCTGGAATCATGAGTCCAAGAGAACCTCCAAGTTGCACATTGGTATGGTGCAACCCATCCATCACTAAAGATGTTAAAGTCCTGGCTCTCAAAGCTCCATGCACCCTGAGCTACTTAGTCTTACCAGTGTTCAACCAAAGTCTATTGTCCCCCCTCCAGATGCCCATAGTCTCTAGGGAATGCAAGAAGGAAGATAGCATCACTTGGGTCACTGGGCGTGAAGATGCAAAGTTGGATATCATCAGCATTCTGATGGTACCTCATCCCATGTTCACAGCTAATCTCACCCAGTGGCTTTATGCAGATGTTAAAAAGGACTGGAGAGAGTACCAAGCTCTATGATATGCCACAAAAAAGTGGCCATGGACTAGACCCAGGGGTGGGATCCTACCGGTTGAACAACCAGTTCACTGAGCTCTGTGCGCATGTGCACAATTTCCATAAAATTGAACTTCCGCATTGCAAACAAGGAAAGGAGCAACGAAAACAGCTGAGGAGGGCCAGTTCAATCTGCCACCCCTGATCAGCTGGGCTTCAGAAGCAGAAATAAAGGTCAGTATAACCCAGGGGCAAGCGGGTGGGCTCACTTTCACAGCAACAGAGAACTGGTTCACTCTTGGCAGGAAGTGGGAAGTACTGGTTTGGGTGAACCGGTCTGAACCAGTAGAATCCCACCACTGACTAGACCTCTCACTACCTATCAACAGCAGAGAAAACCAGTGCAAAACTGTATTGCCCAGATCCAAATCCTGCAGCTGTCCCAAAAGGATAGTTAATGGTATTGAAGACCACTGAGAAATCAAGAAAAGCAAGGATGGATGCACTATCCACATCCTGCTTTTGTCTGAGATCATCAACAAGTGTGATCAATGCTTTTTCTGTCCCAGAGTTAGGCCTGAATCCTGACTGGAAGGGGTTGAGATAATTCATTTCATTCAAGACTCTGCCAAGCCACCATTACTTCTACATCTTCTCTAGAAAGGGAAGATGGGAGCTGAATAAAAACTATCCAGACAGCTGGGATCAAGAGAGGGTTGGGTTTTTTTTTTTGAGGAGTGGGCAAACCAGGACCTCCTTAAAAGGTCCTAGAAATGTCTCTTCTATAGTAAACAATTCATTATTGCCTTAACCCACCTGGCAGTCATCATCCTGGAGGCTTTCACCAGCCAGAGTGGCAGATCTAATTGACGGTGGTTGTTCTGACAACATCAAGGTCCCTATCCATTCTTCAGGTCAAAAAGGATTGAACAGTTTCCAAATAATTAGGTAAGTCCTTTAGCCAAGCATCTCTAATTCATTTATGGGTTTCAACTGGGAACAAATCCAAGTGACTTTGTCTGTCAGGTGTTCAACAAATTCCTCTGCACAGTTCTGAAGATGATCATTCAAGACCTCCTTACTTGGGATGGACTGGGTGATCCTGATCAGGGTTGCCAGGTGAAGCTCTGTTGACACAATAAGGATGGAGAAATAATGGTATTTCATCACTTTTACTGCCACAAGATAGGCCTCAATAGCAGCTCTAAGTCATGTCTAATCAGATTCATCCCTTGTTTTCCTCTGACTCTTCTCAAAACTTAGCATGAAAACTATCTCTTGCCAGGCCACAGGTGTGCTTGCCTCTTCTTCTGTTAAAAAAGTCTCATTCTTTTTTCCGTTAGTTGATTGCTTCACTTGGAGACAATATCTTGGGGAAAAAAAGACAGATTCCCAAAGTTGCTGTTTGCATTTTTTAAAAATTCCAATATTGAAAACAGAAAATCTATTGTAAACAATCAAAAAGTATTACTGACATGTAAACACATATAAGGAAATATGTAAAGAAAAAGAGTACATAAAAGAGAAAAAAGTGCAGAAAACAATACAATTAAAGAACTATAGTTTTCAAAAACAGAATGTACCCCATGGACATAGCTTCATGAGAAATCCAGTATCTGCTCTTTATAATATAAACTCTTTAAACAAATCCCATTCAGTGTAATTATCTTTATAGGTAAAGTTCTTTTACAATTTAGTCAGGAAAAAAAACCCAGAATAATATTGATTTATTGATTGGTTGATTTATTGATTGATGCAAACACACAAATTGATAGTAATTGTTGGACAGATGCAAATGGTGGCTATAAATGACCTTAAAGACAAAATATAATTACCTGGTTATCAAAAGTGTGGATCTTAAATAATAGTGCCATGCTCACTCCTTCTATTGTTGAATAGTCAAACAACTTTTTTTTTTCTTGGCAGCTGGGTGAAAAAGAGGGAGAGAGATACACAAACTCAGTTGCTTATCTGAATGGGAATATGTTATCTTTTCCTCTCTCACACTTCACTGTAGATGATGGGGGAGGAATCAGAAGAGTTTAAAACCAAACTCACCTTCTGCTGTTGCAATGTTTATTATCTTTGAAATGAGCCGTGGCTTTTTGCAGTCTGCATGAACAATATATGGGAACAAAGGCTAAACAGTATTGTTAGCCAAAAACATGTATGTTTTCACAGGATTTAAGAGAAAACTATCCATCCTTTAATCTTCAGATAATTGTTGGATAAAAGAGGGTTGAAGAAAATTGGATGGGTTTTTACTTTTCTTTCTTTCTTTTTTGCTAGGGCTCATAAAAACTTTAAATAGTATGTTAAATAGTCTGATTTCTTGAAAGTTTACATTACAATAAACTCCTCTACATTCATTGTAATTCATCACAGGATTTGAAGATTTATAGAGACACCTGGCTGGAAAGAGACGGTATTAGTGAGTTGTTAAAATAAGACAGATAGATAGGCAGACAAACAGATGACAGAAGCCATGTACTGAAAGAGAGAAGGGGGGGAAAAAGGCAGAATTAGGATGATGATGGTTCTAAGGAGAAGTTTACAAACATTTTAAACAAGAAAACAAATGAAGTAGCTTCTTGTTGTCCTTGTGACCTTCCACCTGAGATGAGAGCACATTTAGAATAGAATAGAATAGAATAGAATAGAATAGAATAGAATAGAATAGAATAGAATAGAATAGAATAGAATAGAATAGAATAGAATAACAGAGTTGGAAGGGACCTCCCCTGCTTAGGAGGAAACCCTATACCACTTCAGACAAATGGTTATCCAACATCTTCTTAAAAATTTCCAGTGTTGGAGTTCACAACTTCTGGAGGCAAGTTGATTAATTGTTCTGTCAGGAAATTTCTCCTTAGTTCTAAGTTGCTTCTCTCCTTGATTAGTTTCCACCCATTGCTTTTTGTCCTGCCCTCAGGTCCTTTGGAGAATAATTTGACTCCCTCTTCTTTGTGGCATCCCCTGAGATATTGGAACACTGCTATCATGTCTCTCCTAGTCCTTCTGTTCATTAAACTAGACATACTCAGTTCCTGCAACCGTTTAGCCACTAAAGGAGAAAAAGAAAAAAACCCTAGGGAAAATCAGATAGGAACATTTTATGTAATTGCTTTGAAAAGAATCAGTCTATCTAACCGGGAGCAGGTCAGAACAGAAACAGAACAGAAACACCTGAAGGGCCACAACTGTGTTTAAAACAACTAGTTATTATAGGTAGAATTAAAAACCTGCACAGCTAAGGCTTATTGCTAAATTAATGAATGGGTACTGGGAAATATGTCCCCATATATTCAGTGGGGATTAAATGGATAGATTTATACATATTCATTTATTTTTTATTTATTTATTTAGTTTGTCAAACATGCACGAGATAACAGGAATAAGTATAAACATGGATATTAAGGGTATGGGTATGAATAAATGGGGACAGTAGGACAGGGATGGTAGGCACGCTGGCGCTCTTATGCACACCTCTTACAGACCTCTTAGGAATGGGGTGAGGTCAACAGTAGATAGTTTAAGGTTAAAGGGGGGTTGAGGATATAACAACAGAGTCAGGTAGTGTATTCCAGGCATTGACCACTCTGTTGCTGAAGTCTTTATTTATTTATTTATTCATTTATTTATTTTCTGGAATAACAGACCACAAAAAATTTAGGGCCACCATCTCTGATATCAGGGATGTAGAAAATATTAGTTTTTTGCTCACATTTGGAGGCCATCTGTATTACTGCAACCTGGATGTAATAGCCCTAAACAATTTTAAAATTTTGAGCTAATTTTTAAAGGCTGGTGATAGTTGGCAACAATTTACATATTCAGAGCAAGAAAATTTGTGCATAGATATTTATGAATCTATAAGCATTATGCAGAAGAAGGAAGATATTCTTTTCCAAGGGTCTAGAACAACATTGATCTCAGAATATGTTTTGCACTATTACTAGAAATGCTTGCATTTTGTTTTCAAACTGTGTGGCAATGACTAAGTGCAGTGGTGCTTAAAAGTTTGTGAATCCTTCTGAATGTTCAGTATTTCTACATAAATCTGTCCTAAAATACGACATCTTCAGATAAGTCTTAAAACTAAAGAGAACCCAGTTGCACAAATGAGCCAAAGACATTATATATTCATTTGTTGAGGAAAAATTATCCAAGCGTCATAATTATTTTTTAAAAATTCAAAAAGGTTCAGAAACATTTAAGCACCACTCTGTATCTCATTTGAACAGATGTATGGACATGTGTGGACACATGCATTGTATATAAAAGAGAGAGCAAGAATAATATTTCAAATGTCCAAATAATATGTCATATTTGTTTTTAGTGGAATGCTTTCCCCAGGACCAGCACTTTAGTTCCTCATGTGGAAGACAGAAATATTCATCAGATTAGATATAACTGGCTTCTGCATCTTGAAACTGCTGGTCAATGGAATATTCAATGAGCAGACTGAAAAAAAAAAGAGTTCCAGAAATTCTCTGAAGTTCATAGTAATAAATTAGAAGGAAAAAAAAATATCTGAACCAAGTGAGAGTTTAACAAACAAACAATAAAAAAATATGTGACTTAGCTAAGTTTATTGTTACAAACTTGTGCTTTCAAATTACACCATCAAAATTATATGGGAGGAGGTTTACTTTAAAAAACAATGGGAATTGAGAAATAGAAATGAATGACTTTAATGTTATATACTTAAGTGAATTGTACTAAGATATTTGATTGTAGTATTTGGATAAATTAATAAAGGAAAGAAATGGAAAAGAGGGAAGGAGATGGGTTATATATGTAAAATTGTGTGATCATTAATATTTATGATTGGAACAATGGAATTTAGGGAAACACCTGAAACTATATTAGGTTGTGAAAAGGGAACAGTGGGAAAATATTTGAATATGATGATTTAGAGTTAGGGTTAGGTATTAGAAAAATGATTGATTTCAAATTAAAGGGTTTTAACTTGGAGAAAGCAATGAGAGGAAGGGGAAAAAGGAAAATTGATTAAGATTAGAGATTAGGGCAAATGGTAATATTGGCTACATATCAGAAGAAATACAAAAAAGAAAAGAAAAATTAGAGAGAAAGAATATTACTATGGCAAAAAGTGAAATATAAAAATTACTAAAAACTGTTTAAATTTGTGACTCAGCCAATATTCTGTTCAGAAAAAATGCATTGTCTGTTTGTTTGTGTAAAAAAAAAACTTTTACAAAAAAATATATGGGAGGGATTTTCTGGATTTCTGAACATATATCCAACTTCCTTCTTGCATTGGAAGGCAATAAAAGTAATGCTAGTACACATACTTTAGTCATGCCCTTTGGTTGCATCTTATTGATTGAATACTCTTTGATGGTGAACCAGATAGCTGGAAAGACATTAGGCTTTAAGGCTGTTAATATGTTCCTAAGTGGCATGCCAAAAATTGGAAATTTGTTGGAAAAATGATCATACAGTTTTCCTGGAGACTGCTACACTTAGCAGTAGACCAAACATCAACAAATTGACAAACCTGAACAAATGTGTCAACATTCAGTTTTTGAATTGGCCTTTTGCAGGCATAAAAGAAAGACTGGACAATATGATTTCATATAGACAAGTGTCAATTAGTTGTTTGAAAATTGAGTTGTAGCTATATTATTGTTGTTTTTGTTTTAACTATTTTTCCCTTCCTTGTTAGTTTGCTTTATTTGTAGTCATATTTTTAGTTGTACAAATGGAGTCTAATAAGGAATTAAAATCATTGACCAAAAATTATCTTTGGTACCACCCATCTGTCCTTCCATGACTTTATTAGATTATATCAAACCTAACAGTGAGCAAGCTGTCATATACTTTT